GTTAGGATTAGGGTTGGCGGTTAAAGTTAAGGGGGGTTAGGGTTAGGGTTAGGGTTAGAGGTTAAGCTTAAGGGGGGGGGGGTTAGGGTTAGGGTTAGGGTTACGGTTAGGGTTACAGGTTAGAGGTTAAGGTTTAGGGGGGGGGTTAGGGTTAGGGTTAGGATTAGGGTTAGGGTTACAGGTTAGAGGTTAAGGTTAAGGGGGGGGGTTAGGGATAGGGTTAGGGGTTAGGGTTAGGGTTAGGGGTTAAGGTTAAGGAGGGGGGTTAGGGTTAGGGTTAGGGTTAAGGGGGTTAGGGTTAGGGTTGCGGTTAGGGTTAGGGGTTAGGGTTAAGGTTAGGATTAGGGTTGGCGGTTACAGTTAAGGGGGGTTAGGGTTAGGGTTAGGGTTAGGGTTAGGGTTACGGTTAGGGTTACAGGTTAGAGGTTAAGGTTTAGGGGGGGGGTTAGGGTTAGGGTTAGGGGTTAGGGTTAGGGTTAGGGGTTAAGGTTAAGGGGGGGGGTAGGGTTAGGGTTAGGGTTAAGGGGGTTAGGGTTAGGGTTGGGGTTAGGGTTAGGGGTTAGGGTTAAGGTTAGGATCAGGGTTGGCGGTTAAGGTTAAGGGGGGTTAGGGTTAGGGTTAGGGTTAGGGTTACGGTTAGGGTTACAGGTTAGAGGTTAAGGTTTAGGGGGGGGGGGGTTAGGGTTAGGGTTCGGGGTTAGGGTTAAGGGGGTTAGGGTTAGCGTTAGGGGTTAGGGTTAAGGGGGGGGGGGGTTAGGGTTAGACGAAGGGGTTAGGGTTAGTGGGTTAGGCGAAGGGATTAGGTTGAGGGGAAGGGGTTAGAGTTAGGGTACGTGTCCTAACCCTAACATACTAGGGCACATACACACCTACCATGCTAGGGTTAGGGTTAGGCGAAGGGGTTAGGGTGAGAGTTAGGACACTCAAAGGAAATAAGATAAAACAAGTAAAAATATTACACCAAGCAATCAAACTTACATATAAATATCGATCGGAGACTTGGAATACTTCCAACCGAACTATAATTGCAAAAAAATAACATATTTATAGGTAATAAGTAACAACGGTCGGAAACGAAACGGGTAGCCATGACAGTAGGCTTAGTCATGGAATATAAAATATATTGAATAAGTGTAGCATCTTATTTCGACAAAGGTATATACAAATTGAATAGAGAATTTACAAGAGTGCTAGCAGCGAGCAAATAAGCGCCGTTAATTATATAAATTCAGCCCGCTGCTTTTGATGGTGGCCGTGAACATGTGGGTGATCGACGCGTGGTTGGCGGCTCGCGTGTACAATGAATTAATCCTGTAATTGATCCGGTCGCTTGCACTGTTGCTGCGGATCTTGAGCGTTTCACCGACCGTTCGATGGTCCATATTTTTCGTCTGAACCGCACTTAAACTGACTATATTCAACAATCCAGTGAACACGAGTCCGAGCTTGATGAATCGATGCTCGATAATGGCGTCGTTGCGCGCGAGCCGGCGAGAAGACCACTGCTCACGCGTTCACCTAGATGGACGACTCCCGATCGATAAATCGATCGACCGTGAGCGCCATCATGGCTGCGCGTATTCTCAAACGTATGCTACAATAAAACAGTTAGTTAGAAAGATAACTTGCAATGTAGAAAGTAGAGCATACGAAATAATAGTTTATTTAAATATAGAGAAGCAACTATACGCAAATTGGTGAAATTGTCGGTATATACATAAGAAACCTTGCTCGAAAATCAAAAATAGGTAAATATATTTCCTATGTCTATGCCCCAGGCCCGAAATCGAAGCTATTTCAGCAGTAGCACCATCCCCTTTTAGTCGCCTCCTACGACAGGCAGGGGTTACCGTGGCTGTATTCTAAACCCCCAGCCACAGGGGATACATTGACTTTTCCGAACACAAACTTTCCGCATACCGTACATCACGGGACCGACCTTTCCGCGAAATACTCTTTCCCAAAGCAAAGTTTTCCTGTGTTGAAAAAACTCTATATATTCCTCATTCTATGTCTGCACCCAATTTGCAGTGGAAGATCTTCGTATTCCTTACTCGTAGTCTCAACTTAACTTCCGATGGAACATCTATGTTTTCCTTATTCTATGTCTCGACTCCGTTTGCACATCGTTCCTAATGGGTTATGTCTAACCCCAATTTGCGATGTAGGTAATTTACCTGCTGCTCATGCTCTGTAATTTATTACATATTCATGCTTTGTGATGTACTACATACAGTATCGATTAGTGATGAGCATATTTCTTAATTGTATCGATTTTTGGTATCGATACGTATCGATATACATACATCAATTAGGAATGGTATCGATACGTATAATTAAATTAGAACTGAAGTTCAGTAAAAAATTCACTATATGTTTCCATGAATAAAAAAAGAATTTGTAATAAAATATTACTGCTTTATTTTCCCACATCCCATCTTTCAATATATGTATATATATATATATATATATATTACGATATACATATGGAACATTCAACTTTTATTCATTTATATAATACCTTTCATTTATTAACTACACCTTACATTCTAATAAACACTATATTCTCTAATAAACAAAATTCCGTGGTTCAAGGTATAGGTAGCGAAATGACTGACGAAGAGGGAATTTTTTTCATAAATATATTAACCCAATTTCAGACACGCTGATATCCTTAATTATCCGCTATCCCCTGTTACTTCCTTCTCTCTCTGATCATCCTATGTAACCCAACCTTTCTTGCGGTAGCTATACTCCTATCCAACCAAACAAACGACGTTAGTACATATTTCATATCGGTTGCAGGGAAGAGTCAATATGGCGTCGTACTGACCTGTCAAAGTACGCCAAGTACACACATTTTTATGTACTCGTATCTTTTAAACTATTGGTTTCCTAAACTGTTAACTTGCATTTTCGGACTTTTCAGGTCAAAAACTACAAGATTTCATAATTTTTAACCAAAAATTTGTGGGCCCATGAGACAAAGTTTAACCAGTTTGCGTTGAATCAATCTTCGTGGATTATCTGTTGCCTTTCTTCGTACCGTACAAAATATAGCGCTTGCATCGTGCATCAAATGTACATACATAGTGCTTTATGAAACGTATTGTGTATCATATGTATAATGGCATAGTAGTAATTCTGTACGTTATTTAAATGCGCGTACAGAGTACGTGGAACTTGCAACCAAATTAATAATAGTTCTTCTTACCAAATAAGTGTCTTGCTTCTCGAAAAAGCATCTTTAAATATAGCTCTTGGTAGATTTTTCGACATTATGCGCATCAGCTGATTTTGACAGCCGCATCACATCCGATATCTTTACGAGTTTCACTACAAGACTTTCGTAACTGTTTTATTCACTTTGTGAGCAACTAGCGATAAAAATACCTTATCCTGAGGTAATTACTTACAAATAACATTTAATTATTTTCATTCCTGTAGGTTATCTGTGTTCTATTAATGCTGTCGTATGTTCTATTCCATTCTATTGCTATTCTGATACAGAGTTAAATGTATGATGTAATTTTTTTTTTATTACAGACGATTTACGAATGGTGATCGAGATAAGAATCACGGTGAAAAAGTCTACGATAATAGATTGCTTAATAGTATAAATATTATTCTGTGGAATAGTAAAATGTCTATGCAGAGTCATTCAAAAATTTTAACACAATTGAAGGATTATTTCAATAAATCTGGTTATAATAAAAATTTACAAATAATTCTATTCAAGGATTGGCTTGATTTCTTGCAAAAAGTGACATATTCACAAATTAATGCTCTGAAAAGATTCTCGCCAACTGAACTGTCGAAGATTACGCACGACGATAAAGCGTTAAGCTCTGATCAGTCCGGTAACAACAAAACGTCTACTGAGAAGATTACATTAGAGTCTGGAAAAGGTGAAACATTATCGGCTGATTTTATTAAACATGAGAAAGTATGTTGTGTGTTTCGAGTAGTATATGAAAAGTATGTATAACGTATAAAAATGTGATTCTTTATTCATTCTTTTCATGATTGTTATAGCAAATTTACAAGGAAACAACGAGTAACGGCAAAGTGCCAACTGACACGAAAACTCATGCTTTCTTTCAAGCTTTTGATATGTTAATATTTAAACTAACTGTTAAAAGTAAAGCAACAAAGTTGATTGTTCAACCAAAGTGGAAGATAAATGTTCAGAAAAATATACCAATGCATAGTATTGCATCTAGAACACGTCATATTTTAAACAGTATTGTAAGTGCCGAGTCCAATGCTTCGCGCTGGAGAAGAATTGAAGACTTTTTATTACACATTGATCAATATCCTGAAGCGAGGCATTACGCTATAAAAGAAGGTGCAATTCAAGTGTTGTTAAACATTCGCCATCGAACTAAACATGAAGAAATAATGGGTATGATGCGATATTAAATCATTATCCTATTCAATTGAATCTTGTTAATTCAAAGATACAAATTTTACAGCATCTGTTCGAGAAGCGTTAGCAGTATTAGGTTATACCGATCCACTGCCTGGTAAAGGTATTAGAATTCTTTCTATTGATGGAGGCGGTATGCGTGGTGTATTAGTCATAGAAATGTTGAAGAAACTTGAGGAGTTAACAGGCAAGAAAACGTACGAGATGTTTGATTATATATGTGGTGTCAGTACAGGAGCAATTCTTGCAGTTATTTTAGGTATGTACATATTTCTTAGTAGTTTATAATTATATTATTACCTAAGATCTGCCTATTTGCCATTATTATTATTTTTTTCATTTAAATACCTAACGCATTGGCGTATAAAAGTCGTATTCGTTTAACGCAAAATTTGTTATATTTTATATTACAGTGTAATTGTCCGAATAATTTCATATTTTATGTCTATATGTTTATCTCTAAACGATGAAATTTTGTTTAGGACATAAACGAAAATCATTAAACGAAATATCGGAATTATACAAGGAATTAAGCGCTAAAGTATTCACTCAAAGTGCTATAAAAGGTACAAGTAATTTAGTATGGAGCCATGGATATTATGATACCGCACTGTGGGAGAAATTATTGCAAGAACATTTGGGAGATAAAACCCTTATAAAAACTGTACGTGATCCAACTGTTCCAAAGGTACATACATATACCGTACTTCACCAGAGTTCATAACTGCGAAAAGACCACTTTTCGTTCTTTCGTGCGCATCTTCGCCCTGATTGGCGAGACTCCCGAACGAAGTAGAAAGCGATTAGCAGAGAGCTCGCTGCGTTCCCCCACCATCTTCCAACCTGCGCGTCGCAGTTATGGACTCGGGTGAACTGCGGTATACATATCAAGTTATGCTTAGCGAACGAGTTTTACGTAGTTTCTTACAAATATCGAAGATAAAACATTTGTTAAATTATACATGACAAGTATTCTTTAGTTTTCAGCTATATCAGCTATAGTAAATCATGCGCGTGTAATGGGTTATGTATTCAGAAATTATACTTTGCCATATAAAGTGGAAAGTCAATACATAGGATCTCACAAACACAAATTGTGGGAAGCTGTAAGAGCGTCTGCGGCAGCGCCTAGTTATTTCGAAGAGTTTAAACACGGTGAATACCTTCATCAAGATGGAGGTAAAAAATGATCGTTTTCGTAAAATAAAAAGAATAAGAAAACAAAGCAGATACTTTATACGAGTGAGAAACGTATTGAAATATTTGACTTCCGGTTACACAGGTATACTCGTAAATAATCCATGCGCTGTCGCTTTACACGAAGCCAAACAATTATGGCCAAATAATCCAATTCAGTGTGTTGTGTCATTTGGAACTGGACGAACGCCAAATCGAATTTATGAAAACAATAATGACTCTCCGAATGTTGTGATTTCAAGTTGGAAAGATAAATTTTATAAAATTTTAGATAGCGCAACTGATACGGAAGGTAACGTTTTACAATATACATACTGTAACAAAAAAAAAAAAAAAAAAAAAATAAAAAATAAAAAAATCCGAATGGATTGAATTAATCCTAAGTTTTATAATACCAACAATTATTTTATTATACAGCTGTACACACGATGCTTAACGATTTGTTACCGGAACACGTTTATTTTCGGTTTAATCCGTACTTGACCGAAATGTTGTCGATGGTAGAAATACGTCCTGAAAAGATTAGTCAGTTAGAACAAGATGCAAAGATGTACGTACGCAGAAACGAAGAAAAATTTCAGAAAGCTGCTAAGGTATTATCAGAAAAAAGACAAATTCAACAAAAAATTCTAGATTGGATTATATTACACAAACAAATCTATGGTTTATAAATCATAGTATTTCGTAGGTAACTACGCATTTCGTAACTTAATGATATAATATGTATATTAAAAAATGATGTATGTAAATATTAAACGTAAATGTGAAGCATTGATGTGTCCACAGAAAAGTACACGTACAATTAAGATGGATTCATCTGCGGATGCAGAACTTAATTTAAAATACATACTATCTTCTTTTTACGGCATGTTTTCGAATGAAAACGTTAAAAAAAAAGTATTATGTAATTATTTCGTGTTCCTGTAGTTTAATTTTTATGGATTATGGTTGTTCAAAGGACAATTTATAACATGCATTCAGTCCATGAGGTTTATGTTAACATCGGCATTTTGATTAAATCCTACCAAAGAGATCGAATCGAACAGCCCGTTTGTCACAAACGGTTATTGTGAAATTTAAATAATTGACACATACTGTACATACATATGTATATTTTATGACGATTTTCTTGGTTACTATGTCAACGCGCAGTTATGCGCTTTTATGTTTTTCGGCGTGAATAGAATTTCCAGGTGTAATTGCATAAAAGTGTGATTGTTATCTTAAACTTATGTAATACACAAATATCTATAATACAAATGATTATTATTTACTTTTTCGTTTTATTGGATTGCAACGTAAGTTTTAAGTGAGATCGCGTTTGACTTACTGTCGTAATCTGTGTCCACATTTTGCACCGAACAAATAGTTGCAAAAATAACATAAATGCGAATGATTAAAAATGTTTCGTTGCGAAATGGCGAGACCTTCCTTCCCGACGAAGACCGGTCGGCCCTGCTGGGCATTGTTCGGTATATTCGGCTATCAGCCGATACCTAAGCAAGTAAGTACTTACATATACATACATATACTGAAATAATAAAAGAGCATATGGCGCTGCAGTCTACATCCGTTTCTTCTTTCCTTTTTCATGTCTTCTTTCTTCCATTGTCGTGAGTAGTTGACGTAAGTAAAGGTATGTTGCAAAGTATCAATGTAATCTTTAAATAATCAATGCTATAGCGTTCCGGAATTATTCTTGAATATTAAACAAATTTATTCTGTCTTAGTTTCTCGTATGCTTTCTTCTCTTTTCCCTGTTTAATGAGTTTTTAAAGCAAATCAATTTCGTAACAAAACACTTAACCCCAAATATTATTATTTCTACGTTCAATTTAAATACATCATTTTGTAACTGATAATGCTTATTGTTGTTTTAGGCCGGTTAAAACGAGAAAATGGCAAAGTCTAAAAATCACACTAATCATAATCAGAGTAAGTATAAAATATTTTATATCAAGTTTTCTGTATTAAAATTTGAAATATAAAATTTAAAACTTAATTGTAATAATGTATTCAGATACGCTCTTTTTGGTTTACAGATCGCAAAGCTCACCGTAATGGTATCAAGAAACCTAAACGTTACAGACACGAATCCACACTAGGCGTATGTCTCTAATTTCTTCAGTTGAATTCGTATAATTTCGTTGCTATAACTGTAGTTTGGAATTATAGTAGAATAATATTATTATATGTTTAGCATACATATGTACGTACATTATTATATGTTGTGATATTTTTTAGATGGACCTGAAATTTCTAAGGAATCAACGTTTTGCAAAGAAACATAATTTGAAACCGAAAGAGCAAATGAAAAGAGCAGAGAAACGTAAGGCCTTGCGAGAGGCCAAACGTGAGGGTACAAAATAAATCTTTTTGTATGTAAACAAATTTGTTATAATAAAAGTTAAGAAACAAGTTTCTTCCGTTCTGATTTAACGATATTTTCTTTAACGTTATTATTTTGCTTGACGCTGTTATATTTTAAAGTCTGAATATTTAAAGATCGTAAAGTAAGAAATTCTTTTATAGTGGTGAGCTAAAATGAAATTAAATCCAGTCGCAATTATAAAAAAATTTAATGTTGTATTGAAACGCGTATCTAAATGATTTAATTAAAGAACGTATACATGTATTAATTTAGCTGGTCTCGAATCGTACGTTGATACGTCCACACAGGATATTTAAATGTCGTATGTAGGTATTATATAAATACATAAATATGTATGTATGTATAATATATGTAGTATGAAATGGCGGCTGGTCATGTTACCGAAGATCACGCTACAAAAATCGTGGAAAATATTTTGAAACCACGAACGATTTTATTATTTAGTGGTAAACGAAAATGTGGCAAAGATTATATCGCAAACGCTGTACAGGAAAGGTAATAAACCCTTCACGATAGTACGGGGAATGTAGTTATTTGCGGTGATTGTGATAATGACGATTATAATGAAACTTTAATCTATTATGACTATCGATATATTTTTTCTTTTTTGGCAGAATTGGTCCTGATAATAGCGTTGTTATAAAATTATCAGGACCAATTAAATTGCACTGGGCTAAATCATTAGGTCTTGATCTTGATCGACTCATGGGCGATGGAAAATATAAAGAAAATTATCGTTTTAAAATGGCAAAGTGGGGAGAAAGTATCAGAAACCAAGATTATGGCTACTTTTGTCGCGCAGCTATAAACATGTATAATGGTAGATAATTGTTTTTTATACAAGAAATAATATTGTATCTCTCTTTTACACAAACTTTTTTTATAGCTTATAGTAAGTCAATATGGATAATAAGTGATGTACGCAGAAAAACTGATGTACAATGGTTTCTAGAGAATTTTAAAGAAGTCTGCAAAACAATTTGTATCACTTCAGATGAAGCGGTTAGGGAGAAACGGGGATGGATTTTTACTCCAGGTATACTAACAAGACAAAATGTTACACGAACTGACATTGTGTTCTTTCAATTCTTATGGTACATGCGTGTCAATACATGTTATACAGGTATCGATGATTCAGAAACTGAGTGCAACTTGGATGATGTAGACACGTGGGATTTAAAGGTAACAAATAACGATGACGACATAGAATCTATATTACAAAACATATTACAACTCATTAGGTAGCAAAGTATAATACATTGTACATATAAAATAAGGGTGACTGTTGCATTACATACATAATGTATTCCTCTTTGTATGAAACATTTTTTATTTTGTTATTTAAGTACCGGCAAAAATTAAACATATAGAACTTGTAATTGAATTGAATAAACTGTAGGCATACAAATGAACAATTAAGACCATTGCACATAACCATATCATAAAACACGGTAGTAATACATATATGCCAACATAGATATAAATATGCTAAAATGCATGAAAATTACATCGTAAAAAACGTGCATTCGATTCTCAAAACACATGAATTTCTACACGATACAACACTAATAAATCCGTAAGTATGTATAAATATCCCAAAATACATAGTACTTAGTGACTACGACCTATCCATCATACCTCCTGCGAGGTACGATGAAACAAGCACGACTGTTATACCGACTGTTGTGTACTGCACATGCAGACCTAACCTCACCTTGGGATCTCAGGGGACCCTCGAGAATACGATATTGAGAGGTAACTAATGTGTTTTACTGTAAGTTTTATTTTTATAATTTATCGAAAATCAAACAGTTATTGAATGTTATATATACACTAATAAAAGTAAATAGGTACTTAAATGTATGGGTATGGTATTATAATCTTGGTTTTGATGCCGAGATTGCTCGCATTTACTATCTAAGTAAGTAATACTTACTTGTTTCGTTCTTAAAATTACCGTTCCTAATCGTAGAGGGCGCAACTAAACGACTGGTATGAATTGTTTTAAGCTATATCGGTATTTCAGATCGTAAAACACAAAGTCCCACAAGATGATAGATATATGTAAGTAGCGTGCACCAATTACAAGAAGTTTCGCGGGATGGCACAGAGGCAATAGAACCCCCTACTTTTATACGAGCCTAAATAATAGATGTGACCGCTTTGACCAATCATGTGTCAGGACCGAAAGTACGTGTGATCTTAGTTAGAGTACGACCAATCGGATTGCGTTATTCTCATAGGACTTCTTATGATAGGTGGGCAGACTCATACAGCAGTATATTTTTTGAACGCCTGATCATGACAATTGTTTTTGTTTTTTAGTAGAGTGACGCTAATTCATTTTTATTTGAAATAATTATACATTGTATAATCGATAGGGTAGTTTTCAGCGAGATTTTAGTTGTTTTTGACCACATCAATAGTGTTGGACAATATGAAATTTGGTTTCTTTAATGATAGAATTTACAGAATTTTATGACCTGTTGGTCGTTATCACTATTTGTCGGATTTCATTTTATTACATTTCCTAATATATTACGTTTTCTAAATTAATTACATATAAACTTACCTTTCGTTATTATTCAGTACACATTCATTAACGAGAAGATATATCAATCAGAAGAATATTGGTAAGTATACGTTTTTTTTTTTTTTTTTCAAATATATGTAAGTAAATATTGGAATGTAATTAAAACCATAGTTGCTGATGATACTAAATTATTAAGATATTTTTACTCAAATCGTAGAATCGTAGAATTTTAATGAAAAAAACATCATGTAACAAATATCCTAATTATCCGTTTAATATATTATTTAATAGAAAAATGTTTGGGCTTTGGATTTTGCATTTAAGAATGCAAAACAACAACTTAGTAGAACTAACAATAATTGTAAACGGAGAGAAAGGAAACCAGGGGAGCTGAAGTACATCAGTTGACTGGATGTTAGTAAACGAATGATAACGTCTGTTTTATTTTACAGTAACAATGAATCGCTTTTTATATACACGTCTACGATTTTAGCGCTGGACGATCATATTTTTTCCCCCCCTCTACTTTTGGTCCGCTTCTACGCGAAGAGCTGTTTGAACTACACAAATTACAAGAATCCACTCCGGTTACGCAAACTGTCGGCCCTACGCGAACTTCTCACCCTTATTCTATAAACTAATCTACCATGATATCGTTTTACAAGATTCTGTGTACAATATTTACACACGGACTTTCGTCGCAAGTTCTCCTCAAACTTGACCGTTTTACCGTACAAACCACACCGTGGGGACCTTTACGATTGTTCAAATCAAAGTAAAAGCTTCCGTCGAGTGTTAGAATAATCTGTTTTCTTTATAGTATCTCAATTAATATTTGTTACGTTAGTTTCAAGTTAAAGAAGAATTTTGGTAGCCAACTTGAACCGTTTGTGTGCTATGGACGTTCGCGATGAAATATGAATTTTAGATTAATATACATTTGACGAATTTTCTTAGCTTATAATTTGAAGTTGGGAAAAAATGATCAGTGAGTTGAAAAGGTTAAAATTTCAAGGATTAAGAAGACAACTTACAATCAATATTTCCACGGAATGGTTCGCATAAATACATTCCAATCGATCATGAGCCCATAAGTTTAATCACAGATTCCTTCGAAACTAACTGTCAGCTAATAGCACAGTTAAATCAGATGTCTGAACCCTCGTTTCCAAAGTGTCACCAGGAGTGTCCGGTGTGTCAGGCATCACCAGAGGTTCCGTTTGGTACCTGTCCACATTTCTACACGGATTTACGATCGTCTTCGTCGTGTTGCACAATTTATCAACTTGCACGCTTTTCCTCCAAGTCTGTCCACTCATCGATTTACCGTTGTTCAATTTTCTTCGTCCCAAAGAGGAACTTGTACCACGATTACCAACCAACAATAAAGAGAATCGTCTCCAGCCATCGTTCTTACTCTTCGAGACGACGACCCTCGTCGTCCTTTTGACCGCAACTTTTTGTCTCACCGAAGTATCCTCAGCGTCGTTTTTCGTCATTTCATCGTTATTTTTGTACAGTTGTTCGACTTCGTTCGAGGATTGTTTCTCAGAACGAATACGAGACGAATCATTGACCAACAGTTGAGATATTCGCGATATGAATGAATCTCCTTGCGAAAACGCTTCCTTTTTACGTCTGGGAGACGCTATTATACTCTTCATCGTCTCCACCAGTCTTCTTTTTAGTCTGGAGATGTTCATGGATTGTATTTTTCGTAAGGAAGAAGATTCTTTCGATGGTTCGTCGTTCATATTGGATTGATTGTCCATGGTCGAAGAGATTTTTAAACGATTGTCGCGACGTTTCTTCACTAAACGCGTTACGAACATCTGTAACAGAGAAGGAATTTAATAAAATTAGACAATTAGCTGAAAATTGTTGCTTTTTGTATAAGATTTTCAAGTACATCGAGTTGTATGTATGTACCCGATACTCGACTAATAAGTAAGTAGGTACATGCATCGCAAGGGGAGTAATTTGTACTTGTTTAGTATTTTAGTTGTTTTATAAGAAGCTATCTCCGGTCTCGCCTTAACAGCGCTTTCTCGAGGAAAAGTTTTATGGTTACATTATCTTTCGTGCAGCTACCAGGGGATACGGTTTATAATATAATTTCTGGCAGCGTCGTGTTACTGTCACCACTCTAATCCTATCTCCGGATGAATTTCCGGCTGCTTTGGCCAACTTCCGTGCTGCGACGCCGCCAACTTGCGTGAAATCGAATTTACAATATATCTTGAGCGACATCATCCCGCACTTAATTGCAATTCCCTAATACGATTGCATCTTACTATCAACGGTTGCGATCACAGGTAAATCACATTTTTTCCTGACTTTATCCTGACTTTGATCAAACAGACAACGCAGAGATGAAAGGATAGGATTTAAAAATTATATTGCCAAAAATATAAACCCTTATGGAATCCATTTGTATTGAGCTGAAATTGAAATTGAGCTAAAATTAAACGAAAAATACAGAAATCGGCAAAATATTTCGCGGTATTTACCAGTGGGACAAAACAAAGCGAATGGAGTGGAATTGTAACCTATTTTTTTTTTTTTTTTCACGCAATATTTGCAATACTTTCTATTTTTATTCGGCGACAGTTGAAACATGCAACTGTTACTGGCGTGTCTTTTATGCATCTGTGCAATTTTCATTAATTGACAAGTCGGATAATTGGGTTTAAACGGATATTCGATATGTCTCAATGCTGTTTTTGTGCCGACCGTTCCAGCTACATCGTTTTGTTTCGTTTTGCTGTGAAAACGAATGGGGTTTAGTTTGAAGAATCATCGACTATTGAAAAGTTTGCCTAGAAATTGTCCAGCGAAACGGTTCTGCAAACCAAGTCTCAAGCGAGGTCCAAAAATTGTTTACTTAACTGTAATGTAAGGAAAAGGAGGGTACTGCCGGTCGGTGATATTTTTACTTACCAGAAGTAATAGTAAAATGAAAATAACGACGACAAGGAGGTACCAATGATCGACCAACCAGCGTTGAAAGCTCGCTAAGCTGGCATCCGATAGAAGAAGCCGTCTCAAAGTTGCCAGAGGTCCGCTGGGATCCACCTAAAGCCATCGTTATTTCTTTCGTCTTTTATAAAATGTGAATAGGATAAATATTAAAAATTAAAAATTTAATTGAAAACGTGACATTTTCAATCATTTTCAATCAAACATTTTATTGTAAAAAAAAGGATGGAATAATGGAACAGATGTCAATGAAGTTTGAAATTTCTTTTGGTTTCCTATTCAGTCGACGCGAACGTGAATTGCATTGCTTGGATATTAGAATATTACCTCACGACATCTCTGGAAGACGTCGCAATAGCCATTGTAATCGTTGCATGGCGTGCCTGGTTTCGACAGCATGTCAGGAATATCGTACGGCGCTGAATTCCATGCGAACGATGATCTGTAAACAGACGCGTTTCCTCCAATGACGTCTGGTTTATTTGATCCGTCTCTGATATGTACTCAAATATTTTCGACTTCCTAATTGTAAGTTCAAAGTACGAATCCATAGTAAACTCGCAAGATCAACGATAAGGTATGTATTATGTTACTTACAATCAGTTTTACAATTATTGTCGCAATTAGAAAAAGGAAGATTCTGTTGTTTTTGAATTGTTCGTGGCAGTCGAACGATCAGTTTCTGCTTTAATTTCGCGACACACCAGCATATGAGATATAGTTTCTCACCGGCATGGTTGATCCTCTCCTGGCAATTTACAACACAGTTCGCAGCTTTTGGTAGGAGGATCCTCGGGCCCAGCGATGCACTGACAGGATTCCAGGCCGTAAGCCAGGCAAATGCTGCCGGTGCACTCCTGCAAGCAATGCGAGAACCCGATAATGTGTCAAGCAACGTGTGTAAACCTTTGAATACCAGGTAACTGATGATACCAGCATCATCAAAGATATTACCCTTATAACTCAAACATTCCTTCGCTTTACAAATAGAGCGACGATAAATAAAATGAAAAAAATCTGCTGTCACGCAGATTGGACTAGGGTAAAATTTTCTTTACTTAGGTATTTCTTGTTTTTATATATTACGATTAAGCAAGCATTGTAGCTGAATATTTTCTTCGTTTTGTGATAAGGTGAGGTGAGGTGAGGTAAGATGAGATGAGATGAGATGAGGTGTGCTGTGCTATGCTGTGCTGTACTGTGCTGTACTATGGTGCCTTAAGAACAATCAAGTCGTTATTTGATAGTCGGTCGACGCGCGACGGCGCGAAAACGGTAAAGCAAATTGCAAAAGGCAGCCGACTGCCTCTGTTGTCTCGACTCGTTCCGTTACGTTATTCTACTTGCAGATTAGAAAGTTACTATTTTGGGAGTATCGATTCCTGACCACTGGTGCATACCGAGTCGAACTGTTGCGCGTGTGTAGTGTGTGGTTGAAACGCGTTTTCCGCTCGGCCGACCGTAATCGAATGTTTCTGCTTGCAAGTGGAGGGAGATAGCCTTGCTTGGCAATCCATTTCCTTTGTTGGTCACCTTCTGTTCCAGCGAAAGATGCAACGCTTCATTGTTTTTAGTTCTTACACGTTTAGGAAAGAAAAATTATAACCTTAGGATAATAGTGGTGATTCAATGATAATTCATTTTGCTCATTTTGTTTCTGCGATTCTATCATATTATATGATAGAAATCGTAACAGGTTGTACAGACGATATAAAGTTACTCTTTTCCAAATGAATATACGAGGAATTTATGAAAAATTTCCCTGAAAATTCCCTAAAGATTGGTGAAAGCTTTAGGAAAGTCGAACAAGTAATGTTGTAGACGCGTCTGGATACCTTCCGTTCAGTTCAGAGACGAATCCTTGGACTATGCAGATACGCGTTGCATTTGCCTACGCGGCGCGGTAGACTTTCCTTTTCTATCTCGCGCGTATAGCGTCTCGAGGGTAGATTTAAAACCGTGTATACATATAGTACGTAGAATCCTTAGAAGAATATTTATTCGCCGAAAAAATCTCGATCGCATGGTGGCTAAAACCGTTATTACCTACATGAGCCCAGTCAATTTCCTTTGAAACGTCATTCAAAGGGTAAATATAACATGAAAATAGAAGAATATGATTAACATTTGAAACATTAAAAAGCGTCTTAGAGAATCCGACAAGCAAATGGAGCTGACTACTTTTGTAAATTTTTAGCTCGTACATCAACGATGTTGCATGAATAGATGAGACACGATATAGAATTCGGTCGAGAGGGGGGTTGGAACAGAATGGAAGCGGGAAAACGTCGGGTATATACTCACCCCCATGTAACAGACGAACTCCTCGTTGCATATGGTCTTGTTAGGTTTGTTGATGGATGGTGGGCACTGGGGACCACGACCGTCGCAAAAGCTCGCGTCCCTGCACCCGTTGTCGTCCCTGCACTTATCGCCGTTGCGCAGAGTGCAACCGGATGTGCAGCAAGGGCCCTGCAACAACGCTGGATGAGTAACATTGCCCGTAGAGAATGCTATATCTATATACATATATGTCCAGACGAAATCTATGTATACATATGTATATAATACATACACGCATTTGGTCATTTTTTAGCCGGCTTGATATACGATAGAGATATGTTTGAAACGATGCTCGTGTCCGTTTTGAAAGAGAACTGTTTTCTATTCTTCTATTGTTGCAAAAATCTAAAAGTTTTTGATTTTTTACCACGTTTACTTATTAATATTTTGAAATTAATATTATACCGCGACAGACGGTAATTTTCCAGCTGTGGGTTGCCTGCCTATTTTATAATTGCGTATCGAAAATTCATGATTCACGATCCTTCGGTCGCAATCCTGGCGCCGCGGTGCGTATGGTTGTTTTTTAAACAGACCGCAGCGAATTCAGCGAGTTCACAGCAGAGGTTATCGGTGGTGCTTTTGTTGCTCGTTAATTTATTTCGCCATGTGTCGATGATAATGCGCTGGTTGGAACGCGTTTCGTGTTGCTCTGTAAGGTATTGTGCGAAACTGGGCACAATATCCCGATTTTCTGGAGCAATTTTCACGACAGAACAATGGAAAACATTGTTGAGCAGAGAGAATTCGGCTCTATCAAGATTCCTTGCATTGTTTCTACTTTTTTTTTTTTTTTTTTTTTTTTTTTTTTTTGGTTCTTTTCTTAATTCTGAAACTTTGAAGGGTTAGTTTATTTTATTCCTTTTGTTCTAATTTTTACGGGAATATTTTCTTTTAAATACTCTCCCGCAAACACCATTTTTTTATTGTCCTTCTTTTAATTTTAAAATATGCAGAACGTGGAATGCAGTTACATACTTTTAGAACGATTCTCTAGATTTTGTTTCTGTCAAAATTTATCAAACTATCGTTTTCATTTGCTGCTATTTCGATTGAAAATCCATTTCCGAGAAGGTACACACCAAGAACAGGGATGGCAAGTTTCTGACTTTTGTTAAAGTGAACTGTGCAAATACCTTAAACAAACGATAGAAGAAAAAAAATATTTCAAGCAATATTCACTGTTGGATATCAATTGAAGCAGATTTCATAGAGACTATTGTAATAATAGTACTGGATGAATGAATGAATGAATCTATGTCCGATTGAAAGGACGATTTGTTTCGCGAGAAATCGTCGTCGTCATCGTCCTCGTCGTCACCTCCAAAAAGAGGAAACGATTCTCGTCGGGCGACAATTTTCACTTTAATTAAATCCGACAACGAGTTCCATTTTGCAGTGGCACGAGACGGAGAAGAAAGAAGAGAAGGCAACAACGTTTAAGCGAGCCGAATGATTTTCGCTTAACGTGCAGATAAGAACGATCTACGGTTTGAATATCCGATAGAAGGATACTCGTGGGACCAGAAGTCGATGCTTGGGAAAATAAGGTTCGCTCGGTCTGATACGTTTTCCGGTTCAACGAATTGGCACGGAAAGCAACGGAAGAAATTCGATGCTGATGCAAGTGGATGTATTCTCGGTCTCGGTGCATATATCAGAAAATAAATAACCCGATGGAAAAGTGTATCCCGACTATGAGAATATTACTGGGGAACTGGAAATCTGGTCCTTCGAAACGTTTTCACTCATTCTGACCGTATCGACGCGACGCTTGAAGAAAAAAAGAGGACAAATTGTTTTAGAGAAAAAGAAAACAGTTTGGGGTTGTTAACCTCTTCAGGGATGAATACACTCCTTGATCTCTTCCGACACGTATGTATGTAGGTAAAAATATCTATGTATACCCCGCCGCGCCGATTCGAATAATATCCAGAGCGTATTGTGAGCAAACTATTTGCAGAAAATGTTCTTTACTCTTTACCATAAATAGAATTGATCGGTTAAGTATAATAAGTAGGTAATAAGCAGTTATTTTCGAAGAAAAAGTTAAAGCTTTTTATAGTACCTACTTGGTCTTGACATTGAAAGATTATTTCTCTTATCCTACATAAGCCGAAATCTATGTCAACTTCGATCGAAATACAATTATTCTCAAAGAATTAACAATGTCGAATCTTGACTTTTTGTTCAAAGTCAAGAGGAAAGGTTGCTTTATTTCAATTCAACGATTAACGATTAACGATTTCAATCGGACGAGGATAAGACTTATCTTTGAACGGCCTCAATAAAGTTGGAATTTCCAAGAAGATTTAGGGGTTGCTTTAGTGTTCTAGTCACGACACCGATGTCAAGACTCTTACCTTTTATTTAGCCTTGCGTCTATCTCAGCTACTATTAGTTGGAGGCGATAAGATGTACCTATTGCCAGGCACAACCTAGCTGACTTGTAATTTCGAAAAGATTGAGAGAGTTTGCTTAGCAATTTACGTTTTAAAAATTTATAACGACAGCGTGGAAGATTCCTTTATTCCAGCTTGGATTTTGTTGCTAATATTGTCCCAAATAAAAGACAAGTCTTATACGTATGAGAGAGATGCAATAAAAGACACTACGTACGATACTAGTGTAGCAATTTTTTCTCTTGAATTTGAGAAAGCGTTCCTACCGCTTTCTCATTCGAATTTTTCTTTGCCAACCGTCTCGGTGGTTCCTTTGAGACAGAAAGGCAGAAACGGAGGCATCTATTGTCGATGTAAAGCCAGAATTTACTTGGCGTGCACATATACGCTTTGACCGACACAGGTTTGCAGGGCGAGCACGTAATAACGGAAACCGAACAACTCTCTCTCTCTCTTTGCCTCGAACCTTATGGCAGAAGTGAAAAGCCCGTCTCCCTTAGCGCCCTAGAACGTAATAACACGGCTTGAAACGAATCAATTTATCGAATTTCAATACTTGAATTGGAAGAATTCCTGGTGCTCGAAGGAGGCCACGACAATGGCGGGAAATCACGAAAGTCCGGATTCGAGTAATTGCCGCTGCGGATGTAGCGAAATGCCGCGGTTAACGAAGCGTACAATTATTCGAATCATGATGGAATTCGTTCATGGCTTGCCATGGAAATAGTTTCGTCACCGATGTCTCTTTTTAATAACTTTGATATTTACCATAAAAATAATAATTAGGTATACCTATTTCGTTTCTAGCTCCGGCTCTTTTTTTATTATACGTTAAACTAACGTCGAATTGGAATAGTTTTGCTTATTTATAATATCAAACGATATGTACTATTGAAAATTTTAATACGTTATAAAACGGTTCAATAGGTCATAAAACAATGGTTTGAAAAAATTTCTCTTTGTGTCTCTTGCTGAACGTAATTCGATATAATTCAACGTATTGTCAATTAATTGCATTAATTTTCCTCTTCCGGGATTACTATGATTTCATCATGAATGTGTAGAATTATACATAGTACCCTACTCGTGTAGGTTTAATGAATGCACAAATATAAGAGCATCGAACGTGTAGAAACGATCCAGCTAGATACGTATGTATGATCTCCAGAGATTCGATTCTTCGAGCAACAGCGATAATACTTCCTTCCTTCGATAAAACGAAAACCTTCCCGTTCTATTTTCAGAGCAAACGAATACGTGCTCACAGCTGCATTTATATCTGCGTTTCAATCACGACACCTATACGTGTGGTTCATTTCCCTGCAGAACAACCCACGGGATTGCAATTCCTTATCCTAAATGTCGTCACGAAACGAACGCGATACCCGTGCTTTGTGTTCCGTATTCGCCACATCATATCATTCTGTTATCCCACAAACTTATTTTTTCGGCTTACGATGCGGCATGATATTTGAATAGGTAATAAAAGCATCGAAACGTGATTTTCTTTCTTATCTGTTGCAAACAAATTTAATTCCAGGTTTTCTGAAAACTTTTCTGAAAATAATACACAGACGACTGGTCACAAGTTCCGAATCTCCGCAAACATGTCTTCACCCTTCTGTCCCAAGTATCCCCTTATTTTCCTTTACTTTCGACTATTTATCTTTCTTCTTGTACCGTCGCGTCGCCGCGCCGGTTTTCTTTTCTCGCCAACAGTTTTCGCCTTCCGTATCTACTTTACCCAACCCTCGGCTCACTCTTTCCCTCATCAGTCTCGTTCCTGGACCTTCTTCGTTATCTTTTCCTTTCTCTCAATTTTTCTTTTTTCTTTTTTCTCAACATCCTTGTTCCTACCCTCTCGCTTACGCTTAATGTTCACAGCTTGCTCGTTTCGTCGTCCTTCCACGTTTTCTTTCTTCTCTCTTAACCGCTTGTTTATTGCTCTCGTCTCGATTCTCGAAGAGCTACGCCATTTGTCTACGTCTTCGCGTTTCAAGGAATTCGCGTGTTTTGCATCTTGCACTTTTCTCCCGCGATGCACCTCCTAATGCATCGACTTCCGCCGAGCAGTTCTCTTCTTCTCGCTTTTCTTTCTCGGAACGCTTTTATTCCTTCTTTATTTTTTTTTCTTTTTTCTTTGCCGCATTCACATCCCCCACCGAGGATGTGAAGCTTTTGATCGAGCTCGTCGCGTCGAGTCGTTTCGTTTCGCGCCATGGTTTTTCTTTATTCGACGGAAAAGCAGTCAGTTCATCGCCGCTTGCGATTATAAAAAATACCCATCTTCTTCAAGGGATGCATTTGAGACGTTTCGTTTTTTGAATGATAGATTTTCATGTTTTCAAGGTGGCAGAAGATGAAGGTCCAGGGTACTTTTTCCTTTTAAACATACTTGATACGATATAAGTGGAAATTATTTACCAACAGTTGCTGCTTTATCATTTGTGTACCTATAATTAGCTACTATACAAGTTCATTGACTAAAACACAGTGAAAAGAAACCCTATTATAATGTAGAAAAAAGCTTTTAAATTGTTTTCCTTTGACAATTTCCTTTGAAAAAAGTAAACACCTGTCGAAACATAAAACAACCTGTTAGAGATACGAGCTCGTACCGAACACGCGTTTCTGTGCTCTTTCATTCGAATGACGAGTTAACTCATCTTTCCCAATTAACAGGTAAAATGTAAAGAACGACGACACTTTGTGAACGAGCAATTAGCTGCGATAAACTGGGCGCATGGAAAATTTCGAGGCCGTCTCTTTGAAGTTAATGTCGAAATTGCACGTAATACAGGGCGTCGCGTCGCGTCGAGCCTCGTCGCACCGGTGAATAGGTCGAAACGAAGCATTTTAAAATTACAGTCCATTCAGTTTCCGTGCGCATAATTAAAAGCATCAACGTACAGGAATAGGAGAAAACGCAGCGATTGCGATAGCGTAGTCGAACAATTCTATTTCCTTTTTATCTTTGGATGGAAGATTAAACTGATCCACTCTGTGAAAAACAGGAACAAGCATTTGCACGAACGAACGATACTAAATTAAAATCGAATATTCTTTTTCCTGCAATATAATAAGATTACCTAATTTCTTTTAAGTTGTTTTAAGTTGATTCCAATATGATTAATTAGAAGATCCATTTGCCGGGATAGTGCGAGAACTCGATGCACGTAGTGGGGACGACGAGTAACATTGAAAATTAAACTCATCCTCGGTAGTGTTTGCACCTCGTTGAGAATAAAAGGGGGTATCTGGAGAAACCTGAAGAGAGACTCTGAACATACCTGGAAACTAATTCTCTTCAGTTCGAGAGCTTCCTCCATGGTCGTCCGTGACCAGGAAGTTTCTCCAAGCACGAAGAAACGTACATGTAAGTACGAGATTCTACTTGGTAATAGGAGCTGGCGAAAGAGCAAAGGTAACATCGTCTCGGAAAGATGCTCTCGTTTTCAGAGTGACTGTGGAGAAGCGTTATTTTCAAGGTCGTTCAGAATTGATTCGATAGGTTGAACAAAATTGTTTCAACCTATTTGCTCTTGATAACACACTTTTCCTCTTCCTTTCTTTCTTCTTTTGAACAGTGAATTTCCCGGATTATTTACCTGTGCCTTTTGCTTTCCAACATTCCCACCCACCTTTCCCATACATTTCCCTACAATTTTTATTTTCCTACTTTTCTTTCTCTTACCGAGCAACGCGAATTTTCTTCTGCATTATTACCATTACTTGATCCATTATTCATTCTTTTTGGTATCGTAATTGCTCTTGTTTCCGTTTTGGAAAAATTTTAAAAGCGACTGATTTTTTTCCCAATGTTGGAAAAGGAAACTTTTATTTCCCGAGAATTTTGTGTCCCGAGAACAGTATCCGAGCCACGAGTTTCACCGTTTCCCGTTCGATTTCAAGCAGCGTGGCTTGGGGATTCTCCCGAAGGAACGTCAAAGTTTGCCGCTGCATAAATTATGGCCGTCTCGATTTCGACTGCGGAGGATTTCCTCCACTCATTATCGGTGCGGCTCGCCGTTTAATTATCCAACGCATGCTCCCGCAAGTTCTCTCGTTTGGGGAACAAACGAGCTGGATCGGTTGAATTAACGCGAGCTGCGAGCTCGATGCTAGCTACGGTAAGAGAGGAGGGGGTCTGGGTACCCTGTAACGGCACGTTTTGCGTTTAATTACTGCTTTAATACGTCATTAATAAACATCGATACGTCCCTGTTGCACGATACACGTCGTCGCGTTTATTATTTGGCGACCTCGCACTAGGGAGGAATCGACTAGCCGCTACCACGATCCAGTTAATTTTATTCAGTTTCGATTAAGAAAGGTTTTAAGAAAAGTACAGAAAGGTACAGAAAGGTACAGAAAGGTAATGATAATATTGGTTCTGATACATAATTAGGAGGCGTCTCAGTTTACTATTCGGGTATAGCTTTGGCTGGTATTATTTCATTAAAATGATACCCTTTATTATGTATGTAGGTATAGATAAATTAACGTTTCGATAGTAAGTAATGAAAGATTGTATTATGTAATATATGTAGTTTAAGCAGTGGGCGATGCTGAGAAACATCTCTGTTCGCAATTGAAATACCGCTTGTCTCGGAAATGATATTTCCAACATCCCTGCGGGAGATCGATATTGCATATTCGTATTCCGTTTCGTGGGACATTACCCTTTCAAGATATTCAATACGAGTTCATAACATATTCAGCATGTAGCTTTTGCTGGAATGAAAATGAGTCCCCGTCGAAATTTCAAAGAACTTTTGAAGGGCTGCATTTGCTATTTCCCTTGAAAAACATTTCTCTCTCCCCAAGAGATTTTTCGAAAATTTGAAATCTCTGTTACCACGATGGCTTCAATATTCGAACACGAATATAACTTGAAACTTTATTTCCATTTGTTTTATTCCTGTTGTCAGTTTTATTCACTGTCAGTTGCTGTTGCATACTGCCCGATTTTATACATATATGTATGTATGTATGTATGTATAAGTGGAAATAATAAATAAAGCAAAGTGGACAAAGATAATGGTAAAAAAGTAATCGAAAGAAATGGTAAGGTAAGGAGTTTAAAATCACGGTTTACCAAAGGGTCGTTGTTTTTCTGGATAGTAGTCAGCAAACGAGAGAAACGTGTCGCTTACCTGACTAGGACTGCACACTGCACCATCGGCAAGACGACATGGTATCTCATGAGAGGCATGATGAAGTCGTTGAGGGTGGCAACAAGGGTCGTTACAGTCCTCCTCCCAGCCGCAATCACACTCTTCGCCATTCTCCACCACCCCGTTCCCGCAGATCGCATTCTGAGGCTCTAAGAAATCATGGATTTTCTATTTTACTTTTACATTTAATTTTACTTGATTAATTATCACTCAACAGCTGAATTCATTGAAATAGTTTAATGATTGAATCACATTAGTTGGAATTAATAAAATTCAACACGTCATAATAAATGAAGAATCCTGATACCTAAATATTTCTTATTTGAAATAACCAACATAATTAAAATCTCTACCATTTGTTATACATTTTAATGAACCTGATTATTCTTTCTAATATTATACTAACGACGATACAACAATTCTGTTGAGTAAAATATCAAAATTAATTCCGTCACTTTAAATGAAAAATTAACGAACTTAAATTCTAGAATCTAAGACAAAGTATGATAGTTGTTGTTCAGCTGAAACGAGGATCATCCTCTTAGAATCAAGAGTTTTTATCGAAAAACCGAGGTCATTTCTTCTCGTGTACTGCAAAAGTGTGCTCGGTTTCGCACGTTATCTGGACCATTTTTTCGCTGGCACACCAATGACGACAACGACGACGACGACGACGACGACGACGGATCGTGTTAACAAGTAATTGACGATATACTTTCGAGCGGATTAGACAACGATCGTGTAAATAATTAAAGAGACGATTTCGGGGTTTGGGTTGATCACTCGCCGATAAGCGTTTACGCTGTTTCAAACTAATTAAAATTCCAAAAGCTTCTGTACTCACCAGCGAAGCAGCCTTTCGACGAACGAGCCTTGGCATTTAGAACAGGATTTATGGACACCAGGCTACAGGGACTGAAACGATTGTTGTTTCGTTTGTCGCCACTGGTCGCTCTGGCGAACATTATGAAATTTCCGTCCTCTCCTCCGGGTGAACACTCGTCCGGATCGTGCTAACGGACAGAGTAGATCATTTTTCACGAATAATTTGGCAAAACATCTCGTATAACCCTCAACTTCTCTGACCCGATGTTTCGCATCTGGCTGAATGAACTGAATTGAATTGAATTGAATTGAATTGAATTGAATAATAATTTGCCAATTACATGTGCTGATAACAGCATTTATCATTTTGAATTGTCCCCGCCCAAGAAAGTAGTTGAACGTTCCGTAAATTCAGATACGACCCCAATAATAGAACGGGTTACTTTGTCAGCAAACAGAGGACAAAGGGTTGGAGAAAAAGTGAAAAGTTATTAAGTAGAAGCTTTGTAGCAGAGTTGTTGTCGCTTTCTTTTTGACGTCGAGGAACAACACTTAATCCTTCAAGTATGTATTCCCAACTTTTCTAAATACATAAGTTAAGTTGCAACCTCTCAGCCGGCTACACTGTAGGTACAGGAACATTTTCCGCGTACAATTTTTATCAAGAGGAGGCAATTTAACCCGGTATTTTTTGTCAAACAAATTGTAAGGTCGCTTGTGTTTGTACATATGCGTAGGAAGGTAAAAGATCGAATGCAATCAAGTCCTGAATCTGGTATCCCAGAATCACCTTTGCAGCAGGGCTAGAAATTTTCGAATGTATTCGGTACACGCGTCGCGTCGCGTCGACGCAACGTGCAAGCTGGATACGCTCGTAAACTTACAGGGGATCCGAAGTTGTGACCGATCTCGTGTGCAAGGGTGACGTGAGAAACCGTCGGTGGTACGTGTTTGCCGTAGTTCAAGAGGGTGATTATACCGGTGTTCAGCGATTTCATGCTACCCCTGTAGTGCTGCGGGACGAAATAGCGTTAGTTAGCTCTCAAGAGGTAATTGTCTGGATATCGCTACGAAACAATAAATTTCACTTTGCAATTACAATATACATATATTTAGTTCTCCTTACCCCGTTCTTTTCGCATACACCACCGGCATTTTTTAAGTCTCCAGTCCACGCCAGACCTAGAGTTCCTTTCTCGAAGTCGCGATACGTAAACATGTACGAGAGACAGAACGCGTCGTAATCCTCTTCTGTAAAAAAGGATAGAAATGGTTCGGACGAGCAGACCTTCCTTGCTTTCAGTTTTTTTTTTCCATCTCGTTTCATATACTGGTCCGAGCCAGGCGGCCGGACGCCGGACGCCGGACACTGATCCCCAACGGAGAAAAGTTGCCATACAACGTAAAAGTTGGCGGAAATTAAATTACCGAGCATTTCTGGACGCCCGATTTATTATTTTTTTTACTGGATAACACATCTCGGACGATGTTTGACCATGTCGACTGGGAATTCAACCTCACACCTCTCCAACCTCTGTGGCAACCTCGTAGAAATATCGAGGTAAAATACTGCCAAGGACGATGGGGAAATTAAAAATGGAATTAATTAAAAGTATGCAGAGGACAGTTATTTGCTTGCGATGCTCGCAAATATAGACAGTGATACAAAATGGAGAATTTACTACGAGTATTGTTTTTTTCTTTCTCTTTTTTTAAACGCTGCAACATATGATGTTGCATGTCTTTTGAGGTAACAAACGTACTCGGTGAAGTATTGTACTGACTGTACAATGTACAGGAAGAGCGCTTTGAAAGCGAGAGATTAAATCGATCACGATCCCCATTACCTATCCCTTTACCTATTTTCTAAAAGGCCACAGTGTCCATGAAATCGATACTAAATATGTAGAAAGATAAAAGCGTAACACACTCAATATGGTCGTACAATTTAAAAAGGGGTTGTTTTTTTTTTTTTACGCTGCAACTTATTCATTTATTAACTGACGATTTTGCCATTTTTCAAAGTATATCGTGAATACCTATATACGTTTATATTCTATATAAGTACATGCATATCTTTTTACAGAGGATAACAGAGGATAACAGAGGAGCAGAATTTTTAATTTCGGTTTCGTACAGAAGCAACGAAAGCTTCGAGACAGACTATGATACCGTCAGATCGGTGCCAATGAAATGGCCTCGGGGCTTCGCCAGGAATTATCGAGCTTCGCATTCCGATATTCGATATCTCTCGTAACGAGCTGTTGTACTTATCTCCGTCGATCCAGTTTCCCGGCTGCTACATATTATAAAGTACGATTCGTGGAAAAATAGATTGTTGTTAGGGCTGGCTTCTGAAAACGCCGCGTCGCGTAAAAGAATTGTCATGTAGATATGCCTTGTCCAACATCAAGAATTAATCTCTTAAATAGGTCAATCAATTTTTTAATTAGTTGGCTATAATTTTCCATGTTAATTATTCGCGATTGGATGCTTGGACATTTCGGTTAACATCGCATAATTATTATCGGTAGACGATAGAAAATTAAACGTAGACCGATAGTTTAGACATAATTTAGATTGGTGTTTTAACAGAACCGATAATGTGCGACATCAATGTGACATAATTATAACATCCATAAATTATCCGGCACAATTGAGCAACGTACTCTGAATCAGAGCTTAATTTTCAGGCAACAGGGAGGACAAGGCGTGAAACAATTGTATTTATGAAGGAAAATAGAGAAAATTATGTTTTGACAGATTGTACAAAAACGACAGGGATCACGAATAGCCAGGGTTCGCATAAATTTCGCGATAAAGAATCGTCGGGCTGCATGTCGATAGAAATACAGGCTGACAGATCAAACGAGGCAATTCGGTAAATCGAATGAAACTATTCGAGTAGAAAATTGCGACTCGCCTCGCTAAAGTTTTCCTCGTGAATTTGATAAATCGAACGATATAAAATGTCTCTTCTCTGTGCGCCTTCTTCAATGTATTCATTGATCATCCTTCAGAATTATTATTTCCTATTATCCGTCAATGAACGTATCGATCTTGGTCAACTAAACGATAATATGAATCATTAATTCTTTGAATCTAATTTCAATCTAATTTGAATACTATTTTGACACCGATTAATTGATTAGCAAAGAATTATTATTTGAAACGTTAAATTTTGGTTTTGTTATTCGTAAATTCAACTCTTTAGGAGAAATAACACGCGAAGGAAATGTGACAGAGAGATGAATTCCTGAGTACAGTCTCCAAGACCGTTTGTGCTCTATTGACAGATTGAAACAAAGCTGGCTTAAATCAGCCCGAAGGAACCTCGAAAGCAACTGGATATATCAGAAACCAAATAATCCATCCGAACTTGGAGAACTCGAACCGCATTGATCCGCGACTCATTAGCGTTGGAGATTGATACTATGGAAATTTCGTATTTTTTAAAAGCTTGGTAGGTACGAATTATGAATCATTAACTTGTTCAATGATACATGATTATTTGATAATAGTAGGTAGGTAGGTAGGTAGGTAAACATAAAGAAGCGGGAGAGATTTCTGAGGAGCGTTTTTCGATTAAACATGAAAAACGTTGATGAAAATTGCAAAGAGAACATAAATTCCGTCGATAAATGAAAAGCGAGGAAACGTCCCTCGTCGGTTTCGTTCGACATTTACGAGGATTGGCTGACCAGGGGCGAGAGAAATCGAGAAGAAGGAAGCTGGAAACGATTAACGGGCTGCTTCTGCAGCATCCGGTTTCGAAAGAAAAGAGGAGTGGTTTTTCTTTCGGCATCGCGTGTCCGTTTTCACTTCCGTGATCCAACCTTTTCGCGTGCTTATCATCATGGCCCGTGTCTATACATATAGATATATCGTATATTATATATGTATAGAGATTAGCAGAGTGCGAAAAGTGCTTAAAAGTCACAGTGAAGAGACGGTTCGTGATACTCGAAACGCGTTTCATTAAAGTTGAAAGGCAGTATCAAACCGCTTCATCGAATACTATTGCTCGAGCTTCACGCCAAAGAGCGTTTTAATTAACGACCGTACGGTGAAAAGCACGTTCTCATCGTCAGTTGAAGCCTTTCAGCGGAAATAAAATCTCTATGTATATGTACATACAACGATACGTATAGAAGACGTATAATATGTTCACTTACCTGAGAACAATTCGAGGAATTCTTCGACACCGTAGGTACCGGTGAACCTATAAGTTGGGTCGTTCAGAGCTCTTTCACCGTGAACTTTCACGCGTTTTATCATGAAACTAATGTTATCCGGTTGACCATCTTGATTGAAATCTACAGAACACAAGAAAATGAAAATTCTATGAATTCTATTATTATGAAGAATTATTGTTCGGTCAATTGTTGTAACACGACACGCTACACGTACATAGTATATGTAGATTTCCATAATTTAAGCTCACATACATAAATAGGTAGGTACATTTTATGTATAATATTAAAACTGTTTAATATTTGCTTTCAATTAGATATTCGATCGTTGGCTCTATTCTCCCCGAGAATAATCGATCCATTAAAAAGTTGCAAGAGCAAAGTCGTTAATTTTATCCGAATTTTTTTTGACGAATTATTGCACTTTCCATGAATAAAGTGAATTTCCATGGAAATCGTAGAATGTCGGGGCTTTTCAAATTAAAGCCGGGTTTCATTGGAGTGCAGGCAGGCTCTGCGATGGACGGCGATACGGTGAAATTCATAGGAATCGACGTGAGGAACTACTAGTCGTGGTAACCGATAGCTGATAACGAGTGCTCCGAACGAGTAATTTTCGGGTTCGCCCAGTGATCAGCGTATTCGGACGAATGATTCGGCCGTCGCGTCGCGTGGTAGAGAGCATTTAATCAAACACCTTCTCCGTGGAATAGCAATCGAAAGTGGAAAAACGGTGTCGTGACACGCGAATGCGATTCCTTTCTGCTGCTGGCCGGATTTACGCGAAACGTCGCGCCGATCTCCTGCTAAAAATTCCCATCATCATCGACTCCGTCTACAATTCTTCTAACAATAATCTGCTTTAGTGGACGCGCATATCAAGTCCTACAACTGCTGAAATGAAACGAGAATATGATGGAACGTTTCAGATTAACGTAAGTATTGAATCATGCGAGAATCTCGCGAGAATGTACATGTATTCCCATAAGATTCTCTGTTTCCTTAAGTGGTGTGGCCCCACGGCAACCATGGTTTCCGGGTCGACGGCACGTCGGCTCGTGCATACGCAACCAGTTTGCATAAACATCAACAGCAGCATCGTTACATCTATATCTTGTATGCAATATACATGTGCTGTCGGTAATTAACGCCAAGTCCATTGTATCCAAGTTTGATGTTGCGTTAATCAGCTTTCCCACTCTGTTTCACAGCTTATCACTGACTACGTCAACGAAAACATCGGATGGTCGTGTTCAACTTGAACCAACAGCTTCTTGGACCATTAAATAATGCGAAGAGAACATATTGCAACTGAATAGGTATAGTACCAGAGAATAGAGAGAAGATAGAAACAATGAAAAATTTATGAAACACTGCACCACCTTTTATAATCCATATGGTACAATATGGTTTCACTAATAATTTCTTTCTTTCTTTCTTCTTTTTTCTGACGATGCCATTTATTGTATGGTGGTTAAATTTTACCTTCTTCAAAAAGTGGCTACGATGGATCTACTAGACTAGGCTCTGACGTTTAAGTAGATTAAGACCGTTCGTAGTCAGACAGCTTTTCATGCTTTGCGTACCAGAGTACCTACATATAACGTTACCAATTTCGTTCTTCGAGCAAAGGTAGCCACGATGAATTTGGGTTTTATCGTTTAAGTAGATTAAAAGACACTTTTTAATTTCCTTTGTTATAGGAAACACTAGCAAATGAAGCTACAAATTTCTTTCATAAAATCTTATTCTTATTTTTCCGCATAGTTGAAAATAGAGTAAATTTCAAATATATGTATGTGTACTCATGATCGCGAATACGATTAAACACAACATTAAACATCATAACATTGTTGTGCTTGTTGTTAAATAACTAAGAGGAACTGCCGTCGCGTGAAACTCGTGTTAAAAAGTTCACTTGGTTCACGTGCCGATGTCGTAAAAAATTACTTGGCAAACAAATAGAAGGGTAACGCGTCGCGTGACAGCTGTCTCGGATATAACGCTCGGAAATAAAGTTTCCTTTTTTTTTTTTTTCTTTTACGCGAGCTTCAGGATAAGGATCATAAACGCGGCAAGCAGGGTTCCACGTGTAATGACTGACGCTGAAACTTTCAGCCTCGATGTCGCCGCCACGATAACACGTTATCGTGGCAAGTTTTTCAGCTGCAACAGCAGAAACATTATTCCATGCGGTAAACCAAAATGTGTTATTGTCGAGATGCTCGAATTTATCGGTTTGCTTTCTCTAGAATTTTAACCTTGGATTCTCCTGTAAAAGAGATCCCAATAGGCCTTTCAGTATCTCATTTTTTTTTCTTTTCTCTACACGAGTAGGAAAAAGCTTCACTTACGATTACGTTATCAGAACGTAGAGAGAAGGGAGCGGAAATCGATGGTCCATGTTTAGCGGGGAGGTAAAAAGCACGGGAAATCTCATTTGGTCGGGCAAAGTCGAGAAATTCGTCGACCAACGGCCCCGTTACATATGCAAGATCGTAGAAGGAGTTTAAACGTCGCACCACCTACCCCATCGAATACATGGTAACAACCAGCGAATACTTGTGTGTCTCTCGTGACTGAGCCGTTAACTGATGTTAAACATAGTATGACCGCGAATACACGCTCGTGTACCGGGCCAATGCATTACTTACAATTCCCTATCTCTTCCGTTCAACGATTCGCGGATAAAGCCCATTTTCCGGTGACGTTTCCGTCCAACGACGTCCCATTTCTAGCATCGAATATATACCGAGGCGAGCTTTCGAAGCGTTCCGACCGTAGCAAGCGATTATTATCGGGCATCTCTACACGCGAGCATTTCGGATGACCGATCGACCACCCCTCAGGAAATCCCAACCCGGACCTGCCTTCCCTTTTGTCGGAAGGATTAGACGGCATTAACTCTCTTCTAATCCCGATACGTACAACCTGTCCGCTCATATCTGACCAGCAAATTTTCTTTGCCTTATAATTGAAATTTTCTTTGAATAAAAGGACTGACAATCCGTAGTTAAATTGTTTGAAATTGTACCTTTGTCCCTTCCTATCTTGATCAGCATCGTTTCAAGCTTACGCGTCAAGCACGAAACGTCTATGTATAGAGTCGCAATAAAGTTCCGCGAAATCAATCGGTCAACGTCAGACACAGAAACTGACATTAATCGGTCGCAGGCAGCGTAGAAAGGAACCGCAGCAAGGTTAAGGAACATTCATTTCCTTCCTTACCCCCCTGAACAACGATCACCGCTGGCAGAAAGTTAGTTTAACTGGAAGGTCCGGGGAAAGTTTTAATTGGTTTACGAAGTTATAACAGCGAAATGAGACAGAAGACGCGCGTCTGTTAGTTTGTAGAAAGAGAAAGAAGAGGAGAAAGGTTGCCGATTCTTGTGCCGAAAAGACCAAAGAATTTTTATTATTATCCTTGTTGTTCTAAGACTATCGTAGATATTAACGATAAACCATGGTTCTTTAACTTTTATCTGCTGAACAGAAATTCTGAAAATTTTCCGTTATTTATATTCGCGTATCAGTCCATTTATTGTAATGGAACACTAAAATTGATTTTTCTAAATAAAATTTTCAATGTTTGTAACTCACCTGTATACCTGTAAATAGAGTTGACACGCTGCACGTGACGTGTCATCACCTCGATGCATGCCTCTTCTGACTTATAATGATCGAAGAACGTATGATCCGCTTGCAGATACAGCATGCAAGTGGTTTTTTTCGGATCCACCGACGTTCGTTTTCGAAGGACTCTGGAGTATCTTTCTCTGTATAATCTAACGCAAAAAAAAAGAAAGAAAAAAAGACAAAAAGCAACGGAAAGAAATAGAAAATAATCAAGTTTTCGTGAATTATCAGTATTGAGATATACCTAATTTGTAATTAAAAGAAAAAAAAAAAAAAAAAAAAAAAAAGTCCACAATGTCAATTTGGATCGGCGTGACGCAGTCCAATCTTCAAACGAATTTCGATCGACCTCTATAGGTAGGTACAATTGCAAATTCTACTTTATTCGATTTTGGAACGTGTTCGTTGGCCGAAATTCTCCTCTGTCACCAGCGAGAAATGAAATTTTTTAATTTCAAATCTCAAAGCGTCGACCGTAGGATAACAAAATTTCAACTTCAAAGGTACCTCCTATCTAGATCGCGAAATTTCCAATTTACATTTTTTCGACCGTTCATTGACCGGCAAAACAAGTGCCTCCCACCCCGGTTCGAACAACAAATCAAATCTAAACCCCGTCGCGTTACTTTTTTCTTTTTCCGAAAAAGGTCGATCGCAGAAACGTCCGATAAGGATATAAAAGGATATATAACTCGGTCGTGGCAACGTTAAATTGGATTCGACGGATAATAGTGTTTGCTCTCGATTTTTGACGTTCTCCACGTCAGATAATCTGGCTTCTCTTCTCCGGCGGAAATAGGTGTGCTCTTTAAACGGAAACGCAAGCAACGTACGGCAAACACTCCGAGCGAACGAACCAACGATAAGTAACCGTTGCGCTTTTCTTCGCGACTCTGACAACTTTCTTCGGCTCTGACTTTCGAGAGAGCCCTGTTGGAATATTTCATCGACGCGTTTAACGAGAGATAGCCGAGAAAAAGTGTTCGTTTAAAATTTCTAGAAAAATTTCTTATTCATAGATTTATACCATATTTTTCCCACCTCGTCTCTAATTCGTAAACCACACTGATTGTGAAATAGTTCTGATCTTAGGTAATCAATATAATAATTACGAGTGTTGATGTTATAAAATTGATAATTTTAACACGTTGTCATGACATTGAAAAGATTTTTTCGATTGTTCGAAAAAAGAGATACAACATAGAAATCTTACTTGTCGAGCATCTCCAAATTGTGCGAGCTCGCCATGGGGTCCTTCTTCCTGGCGTCTTTCGGATAAAAACCTGGCTTGGCCCGAGACTTGCCCTCGTTTAGGTGTTGTTGATAAAACGGTCGCATTTTGTCCCCAAGATATCCACTCGACGTTCTGTTTGTTCTGCAAACGATTTTTCTTCGGTAAAGCGTTTGGGAAACTACAGAGCCATCGCCAGTGAATCCCTCATGGTGAACCGATCAGACACGACTCGACTGGGATAAACGAGAGAAATCGTTCCGAGTGCGGCCAGAAGAGATAAGGGTGACATATGTCGAGTAATAAGTAACAGACGGAGGGCCAATTTACTTGGAGGATTCTCGTTACCAACCAGTTCGCGTTCGCTTTACGAATAAGACTAAGGCTTGTCAGATACCACGATACCTTCTTTCTTTCTTTCTTTCTTTCTTTCTTCCAATCGTTCTGTTTTCTTTACGGGCCTTTTATACAGCAACTTAACGACGCTCTTTTTTTATGCTTTTTTTAGAGTGTCCGCTTAATTTCTTCGTGGCACGTGACAGGACTTTGAAAATTCACTGGTTGCACGAGATACGAGCGTTTCAAGTATTTACGGGCTGCTCGCACTGTTTCATCGGCTTCGATATAAAGGTAGAAGCAAGAGATTCTTCCTCTCACGGTAAGGATATTTACTTAAATTCTCTTCTCTTCGTGAATAGAATAACGAACGAGGTGGATATTTATCTTTAAAGAATGATGCTAAATATTTATCAATTTTGCCGAATAAGTAGTGAACGCAGACGCCTCCCTCTTGTTTTAATTATTAGATGGAAATCTTCTCTAATTGTGGCCGCATTCCATCAAGTCTGTCCCACGAAAACCATCCATTTACCATTGACTTCACCAGCAAATCGTTTTAATAATCTTGCTCACCGTTCAAACGGCGGTGGATAATATTCAAAAACCATGGACACGTGTTTCGATTGGCTATCCTGAACAATGCCATCTGAAATTCTATTAAATCGTTCGATGGATGCTGCTTGATCGATATTAAGTTTGTACTGGGAATATTGAACGTGTTAGATGATATGAGAAGAGGAAGAGAAGGAGAAGAGGAGGATATTATACATCCAAATTGCAAGTTAAGCTCTCTCAAACGCGATACCAGGTTAAATTCAACTCTGACGTTAGATTGAATTTCAGTAGGGAAAAGGCTTTTGTGGGCTTCTTTGTGAACAGCGCGGTTTAATCTGTGAAGAGAAATTGAGGGAAAGCGTGAATTTCCATCTTTTTCATACATTTCAATTTAGGGAAAGTGGCTGTGTATTATTATCGTCATCATCATCATCATCATCATCATCATCATCATCGTCAATTTTTCTCGACATAGAATGAAATTAAAGGTAAAAACGCTTATTTTTCAGATTTGTTCTTCTGTCAATTGTCTAACTAGTTCAAGTTATTGACTTTTATATGTATAATAGTAGGTATATACTTTGAATTTTCTTGCTGAAAGTTTTAACAAGTGCTTACCTCAGTCCGTTGAATGTGTTCTCTCGCAACAGCTCGCTCGCACACGGATATCCGGTATGGTGTGAAACATTCACGTCCATCGAACGATACGCGATCGTATGGTGATGCATCGTGTCTGTCGTGTCTTTATGTTCGCCGTCTTGCCGGTGGCATACGAGTGGAGCGTATCTGCTGGCAGGTTCGATGTAAATTTCATCGGATGCCGTGAAAATGGTTCCATCAAAGAGACCCTCCTCTGTTACAATTCCATGAATCAAGGAATTCTCATCGTCTAAAACAGTCGAATAAATACATCAATTTAATTATTCATTGGTAATGTATGAAATAATCGATAATTTGTAACGGTAGAAGAAATTATCTTGCCCCTGAATACCCCTGCTGATTGTCAGTCGGTATGTTTCTCAAGTCAGCTTGGCCATCTTTTCTCTGAACATTGGAACGGTGCTCGTAAATCGTGAGATTTACGGGTGCAAGAACCGCGTACGAGGGAATCAGTGTTTATACATATTACGTTTGCTCGCCCACACTCGTCCCGAGGAATTTTGAATTTATATTCGCTTGATTTCTTGTATCATCGTAGAGAATCAGATCGACGCGACGATACATTCATCGTCAGTCGTTCCAGGATTTATAACTCATCATTTTGGTTTGTTTTTTATTTTTTTCACTCATTTCTGTAATATCGTTTTACAGAAAATTCGTCGCACAGGAATTCTTCTCACCGATATCCGTTTAAACGATCAGATATAATATTACTGTATATTCGACGAATTTCCCTGTTTAAACATTCATGGCAATTTAAAATCGTTTATCGGTAGTATGAATACATAAGTGTGCTACGATGGTTTACGTGCACGGCGAGACGCGTGGTTTAATATTTAATTGCAGTTTAATATTGAGATTAAACATCCACGGTCATACATTATTCAGGACTCGATATTTACTTGGGATTTATTATAGTATGGTTATTGGACGAGAGCAAGTGCGTGCGCGTGTGTACGTATGTACGAACACGCGTAAAATAGGTACAGGTGAAATTGAAAGAAATTTTCTTTGCTTTGTAAGTGATTGATGTTACAAGAAAAAAAGAAAAAAAGAAAAAAAGAAAAAAAGAAAAAAGAGATTCGCGTGTATTCTTAATATAATTTATCTCTATGAGATGAAACATTTTTTTACTCAAGTGAACATGTAACACACCGATGGTTAATTATGGGTCAACTAATTATTAGGTTACGAGAAATATCATTGGTAATCCCCTAATGATCATCAATATTGTAATCATAAATTTCTACCTGCATAACGATACCATGCACGGTAGGTACGTAGTTTCAAATTGTGTAATATACATATGTATTTATGTGACATTATTGCAATTCGAATAATGTTTATGCAATAGTAGCGGTTATAATTCTGTAACAAAATTAGACTATTGAAACGATAAACGATTTTGCGATGAGAGAAAAATTCCAGAGCGGATTCCAGAGAATATCGTAATATGATGGTGAGAAATGTTGTTTGCCAGTTTAGTTAAACAGAATGAAAGGTGAGCAATCACAGTAGGCGATAAGTTAGCCAACAAAGGTGTCTTTGGTTATCAATGAAAGCATCGAGCTTGTTCGAGGATGGTTGAAAGGCTTTCGAGTGGAAACTATGTATCTCGATGCATCGGCAAATCAATCAATAGCCTTTTGACAACGCTGCCTCGATAATTGCTGGCAGCTTCTAACTGGATGGGCCGTGCACACCAGCCTGTTAGCAGTTACCAAAGTTGGCAATACTGCGTTCGCTACCCCCGCCGTATTACCTAGGGTTGTTCAGGCAAATTACAGAGGGCTGAAACGAACAGGAACGTCGGGGACGGAGGTTGATCAGGAGAGAATGGAAGATATGGTACCAGTGAGATAGTAGGAAACTGATTGTGAGACGCTGTTAAAGCAGAATTTAGGACAAACAATATCCCAATGATTCTGTTGATTATCACACACAGCATTTTCCACCGCATTTTCATCATTGTTTCTGCAAATACGTACATTTTCTATTTCCTATCCCATAATAAGTTTATTCTATTGTCATCTGAATTTCAATCTAGGTATTCTATTCGATGTGTGAAATTCTATTCGAACATGATGCGTCATTGGCTGATTGGAAGCATTGCACGGGTGCAGCAAAACTGCGTCGAATTATAAAGCCGAATCAGGAAATCGATGAATGTCCGTGTAAATCCAGATGTTATGATCACGTTTCTTCTCTCTTTCGTATTACATATATGATAATGTACCAAACGATTAATCCTACATTTCATCGACTGTCGAGTGTCGGATGTTTAATGATTAACTTTGCTTGAAAATTGATCACCGATTAAATTCGTTTTATTCATAGATTTTGGTATTTCTGCTCATAATTACATTTACAAGTGTATTTATTTAATGAAAACATCGATGACCAGCAGAGTGATCGCATTGTTGAAAGCAAATAAAGAGCAGAGCAAAGACAACCGAAACGGGTATAGATTTTTTGTGGACGGTTTTGCGAGCTAGCAGGGGATCGCGTTAGTTATAGTTATCGAGGTGGAAAATAATGTGATGAATAATGGAGAAACGTACCACGATATGTACTCCGTGGACGGGCTGGCTGGCTGGCAGTCGCATTGAAGGGTAGGCGAGCGTGGAAAAGGTAAAAGGGAGCAAAGGGAATGGGAAAGTAACTCTGTAGAAAGTGCTCGAGCTACTAGCTAATTCACAGACGTACGTATTTTGACGTAATTATCTTGGATAATGTACAATGTACATAGCTACTATGGAACCAATTTGTTAGACGATAATGATTTTGAACGATGATCGTAATGCGAAACACTGATGACCTAGTGGGTATACATACATACTTGTAGCATACGATTACAGGCTGTAATTTCAACACTATTCAGGTTCTATCTCGGAAATACTACCTTCACCAAGCATTAATTAATCTATTAACTGATATAGGGAAGTAAGATCGAAGTTGAATGTTATTCATCCGTGACAATGAATTGAACTGAAAGCAGCAAGTCCAGTTAAATGTAAACGCGTGTACGGTGGCAGTGTTTTAAATGCAAAATTCACCTGGCCCCTCCCTATACGAGGAAATTTAATTACAACGATCTGTCGTCAGGGGAACGCAGCAGCCGTTCGAAAAGCCAATCGTATTTCGACGGGTTCGAGTGACCAACGCGTTGATGGAAAGTCGATAACGGGTTAGCAGCAGCCTGTTCTCGTTCGCAAACGACGAGCCTTCCAATCATTTCTCTTGGTCTACGACTACGAAATCACTTTGCTCTGATGTCACGTTTCTACTAGGTACTACATAACTAATCGTACAATTAACAGTTAACAAAATTACTATTTTGCCGATTTAACAGCTGTTTTGTAGAAAACCGAGGCAGCAGCACATTTTTAAGTGGAACATCATTAAGCTTATAGTGCTATCGAAACGCTCAAGAAAAACCGTACAATTTCCCTCAGTTTTGACTGTAAACTCTCTGAGGGTATTACAAATAGAGTGAAAGAAAAGAAAAGAAAACGGGGCAATTTTTTCCTTTCAATCTTTTATTCCCCGTACCGCTAAAGGATTATCCCTGGAGGAAAATAAAATTCGGCCGGTTCGACTATTTCCCAGCCGATCGGATGTAAAATGCTGGATACGTAAGATGGAGAACGCAGACGTCTCTGTACGCTTCTAAAAAGGCTTCCACAGAAGTCCTTCGTGGTAAATCACTCGCTCTTGATCGAACCTCTCTCCGGTTTATCCATTTTCGGGATCGTGGGCGAAAGGATTCGACGGCAGCCGTGACATCGACGCTCCACGATATGTTCTCTCCTTGCATCGACGTCGATCCCTTTCGGAATTTATGTGTGCCACGACCGGGCGAAATTTCCAGAAAATTCCAGAAAATTCCAGAAAATTCCAGAAAATTCCAATCGCGTGCGTCCTTTAAACGACATCGCTTTTGCTCTTTTTCAAGTCTGTCGGGACTGTAGCCCGTCCATTTTGATCAGAAAATTGAAACATTTATGTAATATAGATCAACTACTTGAAAAAGTTTACTTAACTGTAATAAATAGATTGAAAAGTTAGTTCTTTGTACCTTTAGTAATTCATATCATCACACGCCTAATTACACACGACAGTTTCTATTTTTTTTATCGATATTCTTTTTTTTATAGATTAAATATCCGAAAACGTGTAGCTCGATCGAGACTAGAGGCTTGAAGGTAGTGCAAAGCAATTAACGAAATTATTCTCGGAGAAATATCAGAAGGTTCGAGTGGATCTCAAACAACGTACGAACTTTAAATGCAATTTCACCAGCTGCGGCCGCGGCATATATAAGCTCAATTTCGTCGGCACGGCGGCGCGGCGGTGCATTAGAGTCCTCGACCCGTCGCGTCGCGTCGCGTCGCGTCAGCGCGGCGTCTCCCAATTATTCAAAACTTAATGCAGACCGTATCCACTCTCTCAAAGTCTATATATCCAGTCGGTAGAAGTGGATCTGGCTTGCAAAGTGACAGAGCGGCCGACACTGGCTACGTTTCAGCCAAGCCTTTTCACCATTTCCTTTCACCCTTTTCCGTCTCTTCTATTTCTTTCCACCAACACTACTACACCTTACACGGCCGCTGTTACCTACACGCCTCGTTTCACAACCCCTTTCATTTCACCCGCATCTTTATCAATCCCTTCTCGCTCAGAAGGCGCCCGTTTCCGCTTCTTTCTGTTTATCCGTGTGAAAGCTACTCTCTCATGGAACTAACCCTTCTTCCCCTTTTTATCTTTTTTCAACCCACTTGCTACGACACGCATTGCAAAGTGCAATTGCAATGATTGCAACAGATGAGTCATGTGCGAATAAATATGAATCAATGTGTAAAAGAGAGAAAAAAAAAACGAAGAGCAAATGAAGCATGAGTAAATGTTAAGTGAAATCAGATAACCAAGTGCTTACCGATTTGAAAATCTACGTCATTAATTCCCAGCGCACGTCGCTATTTAACCTGATTCGATAAATCGCCGCAGAATATTGCTAATTACCCGATAATAATACCGGCCTGGTGGAAGGATAATTTGTGTCGCCTCAAAGTTCAGCCTGAATACCATGTCCAACCCCCTTTTCATTTTCTCGCTTCTCACTTTTCCCTACCCGTTAAAACGTGCGTTGAATGTTGAATACCCCATGGTCTAAAACGTGGTCTGTTTAATTTGTCTAACGCCTCGTTGACAAGTGTGATTCTTTCGCGA